GTTACTTGTCCAAAGATGTCTCCATAGTCAAATGGCTGTCATGACTAAATGGCAAAGATACACAGAACGCTGTTACCTTCCCACCAAAGGTGGTTCCTATTTTTTCTACTTGCATTTTTACATGCTTTCGAACTGCTAGGCTGGCAGAAGCTGGGACAAGTAACGGGAGCTCACTCCATTACGCAATACTAGGGATTCAAATCACCGAACTGCCGACCTTCTGATTGACAAGCTCAGCGTCTTAGCCACTGAGCCACTGGATCCCTTCATTTCATAAATTAGCTACAGGTAAAAGTGACTTACGTATTTCCACCAACATTTATACAAAATTTGCAAAACAAGAAAAAAGACCTAGGATTGCCTCATGTTAATATCAGTTTCTTAGTAGGAATAGAACAAAGGATGCCTGTTCCAATGAAATGGAACATCCTGGATAAGGGCACAATTCATTGGGACCCATTAAAATGTTGCCCTGAAGATGTCTCAACCATTTATTTTAATGTAATTGCATCTGCATAGACGAGCAAGCTTTAATTTCACTGTCATTTCATTATGTGCCTTTGTTCCTAGTTGTTTACTATTCAATAAATACTCACCATGTATCCTCTCCATAGGGAAATTAAATCCTCATCACTTCTCACAATATCATCCTTTTCAAAGTGGTTTCCTAGTCTTTTTAGCCTTTTACGGAATTCTTGAACATCAGTTTCAAGCACTCTGGCCTGGGTGTGGTAGGTGTTTTCGGACTGAAGGCTCTTCAGCAGTTTCTCTTCTTCCTCCACACTCACTAGCTTTATATTCTCCAGGAGTTTTTTCAGTTCCTCAAGCTCAGCCTTCATCTTTTCTGCCCCCAGGGGAGAGGTGTTTTGCATTACATCTATAGACTGTGCTTCTAAATGTTTCCATTTCTTTTCTCCACTCCTTACATCTTTTGTAATATCCTGCAGGAGAAAAAGAGTTGCGAAGTAAGTTATTTCCAATCTGCCATGTAGAAAATACGAGTACTGAGACAGCATTGCTGTCTATGGACACAAAAAAAGGCCAGCGTGCCTTGTGCCTGGTTACCCAAATTCTTTTGAATGGCCATCATGCCGGGAATGTCATAACTATGAATCCACCAGACCCAGGCTGGATCAGGCAACAGTGGTTCTTGGATTTATGTCACATCTCTGTTGGGGAACAATGTGTGCATCTTCTGCCCTTACCAGCGTGCCTGACCACTTCTGATATTATTACACATTGTATGATACTAATATCTTCTGAAATGGAGCACTTCTAAATGCTTGGTCCATTCATCAAAACAAGATATATAACTTAAAATAAAAATATCTAGAGGTCACATAAAATCCCTGACTACTAGCAATTCATAAGAATTTTATATCTTATGGTAACAGAGTTTTAGTCCCTGAAGGCAGGGAAAAACTTCCAAATTCTAATAAACTGGATCTCATGGCTGTAGTAAATCCAGACAATTTAAAAGCACAAATGAAAAATCAATTCAAATTTGATTTTATATTTCATGTTACAGATTTATTATTCTTTAATATGGGCGTAAAGGTACTTTTAGATGCATTTCCAGTAATAATCAACGTGGATATTACCATTCTTTGAATTTTGCTGGAGCAGAAAGAAGTTCCAGGAGCTTTAAACCTCTGCTCGGTAAACTGTGCAAAACACAGCACAATCCTTTAAAAATAAAAATAACTCTGGAGGAATCTACATTCGATGGGGGTGGGGGAACTGGTATTTTTTGACCGATGCCCTGTTAATACGAGTAGTGCAGGGAGCAGGATTGGGTAAGTCATAGATCCCTGCTTGTGGGGAAATGATGGGCATGTTTCAAGGAAATTAAATAAGTCAAGATGTTGGTTACAACTGCATAAATTAAGTCATCTTGATATTTTTTTTAAAGGTTCCTTCACAGAGCCTCCTGGCAGCTTAAAAAAACAGAACTCCAACATCTTAGCAAAACAACACCTTCACAGAAATAACTTCAGCAATCAAATACCTGTAATGCTTTGATTTTATTTTCTGCTGGCAGTTTTGATTCTTGATTGAGACAGCAGTTTAATCTTTCTGTTAGCTGAGTCAGCCATAGCCGAAACTGGTCAACATTGGTCTTATATAGCTTGTGCTCTGTTGTTATCTTTTCAAGTAACATCACTCTTCTCTGAAACAAGAGAAATATCCCAAAGGGAAAGACTGTTGTTTTTTTTAAAAATAAACTCAATGTCAGGATTGGAAGCCATCGTGGGATAGGGCCTCAAGCCTGACACAGATTCAAACATAGTTACTATGGGAAACTGGGAGCGGGGATGGTATGAAGCTTGGGAGATGGAAAAGTTCTCAACTATTTTTTTTCTCCTGTCAGTTGCAATGAAAATGTGCCCCCCCCACCTCCGCCCAAATGAGTTTGAGCTCAGAAGGGGAGAGC